CTGGCAGCACAAATAATGCAAAGCTACAGGAGGAAACGATAAAACTTTTACGGCAGTCGTTTGCAAAGCAGTGAGGCGCAATAGGAATACGAAGGAAGAATGCAAAGGTGACCCAGAGGTGCAAAGGTGACCCCTTATTTTCCCCCAGGAGGCCACTGGACTTTCTGGGTTGGTTTTTTCTTTTTTTTCTTTTAAAGACGTTTCACTTCTCATCCAAGAAGCTTGGGTGATATTTTGTTTTTTCCCCCAGATTTTGTTGTATTGTACTTTATTAATTTATTTGATTCTTTTTGTTAGTTTTCACTGTTGTTTTTTTTTTTTAAAGATGGTTTTACATTTTGTAAGCCACCTCGAGTCGCCACGGGCGAATAGGCAGCAATATAAATTCAATAAATAAATAAATAAATAAATAAATAAAAACAGGTCATGAAACCTCCTGAACAGAAGGCCGAATGTCAGAACAAAGCGAGGCTTGTTTCAAAGCAACAAGGCTGACATGTTTGGAAGCCAGCACAATTTTTTTCCATCTTTTTTTTTTTTTTAAAAATGAAATTAAAATCCCACAAATTCAGGCAAAACTAGGATCGGCATAGCAATCGCGTAGTACACTTACGTTGCCTGATTCAATCTCTTGGCACCGTAAAAAACAAACCACCCCGGAGGAAGTTATGTAAATTGGGGCAGGAATTCAACCCCAACCAGTTTCTGGATCATTTCTGAAGCCAGCCACATTTTTAAAAAAGGTCTGAGAAAAAAATTGCACGAGGCAGATTTTCTGGGAAAGAAACTAATGTCACGGGTCCGTAGAATCAGGGATGGGTTAAGAGTTGGAATTCCTCTCCTTAGCCAACGCAGGAATCCATATTGAATGTTACTGCAGATAATGCTCAGACTCTCAGCGAAGGAGTCAAAAAAAAAATGAAATAAATGCCACCTCCACAGACATTTGTTCCATCTTTCAACAGTAGGACATTGTTCCTGAGGTCCAAAACTGAATCCTACTTCCTTGTTTCTTTCAACCCACTGCTTCAGTCACAGTCCCAGGGACACGCTGTTGCCCCCCAGAAATGTTCGCCCCCACCTCAGGGTGAAAAGCTTGTGTTTCCAACACAACCGGGCCAGTTAATATCCAAGAACTTGGATTGTAGTGTTTCCAATTCTGTCGGTTTTCTAAACGTACATTTGGAACACCTTCGGGAAACCAAAACTGATCCTTAGCTTCAAGGACCTGTTTTTTCGTTCCTTCCGGTCGACCTCATCCGATTCCCGGAGACTTGATACGTCCTGCAGTTTTCTAGGTATTTCAGGAGTGTTTCAGGAGGAGGTGGAATTTAAACTCACTGGTTTCTAGCTTGATTCCTTAACCGCTATTATACCAAAATGGCTCTCAAAAAGAAGAGGACCTTACAAAATGTGAAAACAGTGTGGGCTAAATGTAGGGATTGCAAATTTATTCCCTGCAGAATCTCAGTTGTGCTCTTGGTGTGACCGCAAAGGCGCGGGAGGAGGAAAAAAAAATCTGGGGTTAAACAGCTATCCAGGGCTGCTTTGCAGGGTGAAAATGGGCCGCATATAAATTTAAATGCAAATACCTACATGTATACATACCTGCTTGGTTTGGCTGCCAGGTGCATACCTGGTTGTGGTTTTAAGAAAGAACACCTTCGTTTCTGGAGAGTTATGTTTTTTAGCATTGCTGGAAACACCAAGAAAGTCCAGCATTCTTTTTGTGCCTCCAAAAGCAACGTTTTTCAACCTTGACATATTTGAGATGGGTGGACTTCAGCTCCCAGAATTCCTCAGCCAGGAATGCTTGTGACTGGCGGACCAATTC